CGCTAACTACTAGTCCTTTGCCACCTGGCTAATATCTCCCTATGTGTGTATACCTGATTGTGTGCTGGAGATGTAATGTGACTTCTGATTTTTCATTTGGCCACTTTATTCAAAGACCATGCATTATATATATGTAAATGTATAGTTTGCTTTCCCTTTTTACATAAGCATCTAAGACAAGTCATCACACACAATAAACATTTCTGGCAAATCTAATACATGTACAGATAAACTGTGTCAATAATGGAATGTGTCGTGCAGGTGTTTGTGAATAATTTACATGGAAATGCAAGCATGTACAATTCGTAACTATATACCTTTCATGATTATCTAACTATTTATTGCAATTATCTTATTCTCTTATTCTCCTGTAATGGAACATTGACTTTTGTGACACAACTGCATGCAGGCATACAACAGATATGTTTTTCTTTCCATGGCCAAAAAACCTGCTGAATTTTGTTCATTTAAAATAATTTGAACTGGTCCCATCCCGCTAATAAATATTAATATGTTCTCCCTAATCCCTAGAATTTGTATGAATCAAAGCTTAAGTATTTCCATGGTCTGAGTTAAGTCCTATTGTCCAAAACAGAAGACACAGTCTTCGGGTGTGCACGCCGTTTTCGTCTCGCCACCACAGAGTAGCGGAAACGAGACTAAGGTGTTGCTTGTCCGGCGATGGTGGCACGTCAACATTGAGTTTTTGCGTTTAAGTTACTTTCTCTGAAACTGTGAAAAAGTGCTACACCAACCAATCTTGACATGTGCATTGATGGTCAGAGCAGGGTATATAGGCGAGATATATCAATCCGAATGGTTTTTATGTGAACAAATGACTTTTTACAGTTGTCAATATGTCAATATGTCTTCTGATGCTATTTGAACTCGTAAATTAATCATCTGTAGACAAAAGAATCTAGCATGGCTATGCATTCTATGTCTTTGCCTGACAAAGATGTTTAAAGTATTTTTGTTACATATGTATGTGATCCAATTTGGGTCTGTCTTTCTCAGGTATTATCCAGGACCGTCATTTTGATATTCTTAATCTTTCAAGTGAATAAAATTTGCTTCATTTTCAAGAGTATTATAAAATTATACCAATTTTCTGGACCGGAAATAATATAACATAACATCTGATATCATGGCTGTACTTTATATAAATCATATCTGGTACATGTCCATTTACATAAAAAATTAAAAAAAATCATATTCCTAAGACCAACATACAAGCAAAGTAAATGCTTTAAATACTTATTCATAACACTGTGCTAGATTCCATGTCAGCTTTAATATTCAACTTCTTACCGGCTATCCAGACGCAAGCGTATCCTGTTTAAATCGTATGGTAGTGTACGCTTGTGGAATCTCCTAATCTATAAGTAACTTTACATATTCATGAATATATTTTAGCGCAATGCGGCCATGGCTGTACTTTATATAAATCATATCTGGTACATGTCCATTTACATAAAAAATTAAAAAAAAATCATATTCCTAAGACCAACATACAAGCAAAGTAAATGCTTTAAATACTTATTCATAACACTGTGCTAGATTCCATGTCAGCTTTATTCAACTTCTTACCGGCTATCCAGACGCAAGCGTATCCTAGCTGTTTAAATCGTATGGTAGTGTACGCTTGTGGAATCTCCTAATCTATAAGTAACTTTACATATTCATGAATATATTTTAGCGCAATGCGGCCATCATGTTCCATGAGGAGATACAATTGATATATTAATGAAGTATTTAAAAAAAATATTGTAAAATTATTTACTTAAATTTTCTGTAGAGCCTTTTATAAAATAAAAAATTGAAAAGCCTAAAAATTCATGACATGAAATAGAAACTCTTTTAAGATGTTATATATATAGGATCTTACATGAGTTTCCATTTCATATGAGATTTATGAAACAAGTCGTAAGAGTTTTTAGCTCACCTGCCTGAAGGGCAAGTGAGCTTATGCCATGGTGCGGTGTCTGGTGTCTGTCATCCGTCAGCTTTTCCTAAAAATCGCTACTTGTCATAAAAGACTGAGCAGATTTTGACCAAATTTGGTCAGAAGCATCCTAAAGGGAATGGGAACAAACGTTGTATAAATGGTGGGTCTGGCCCCCCTGGGGGCTGAGGAGCTGGGCCCAATATGGGAAATATAGTGAATTCTTTAAAATCCTTCTTCTTCTGTAGGAATGAAAGGATTTGTTCCATATTTAGTTTGAAGCATCCTTGGGTGAAGGGGAACCAATGCTGTATAAACCGTGGGTCTGGCCCCTGAAGGGCCTGAGGGGCAGGGCCCAATAGGGAACACATAATAAATTCTTTAAAATCCTTCTTCTTCTGTAGGAATGAAAGGATTTGTTCCATATTTAGTCTGAAGCATCCTTGGGTAAAAGGGAACCAATTTTGTATAAACCAGGGGTCTGGCCCCTGAGGGGCCTGAGGGGCCTGAGGGGCAGGGCCCAATAGGGGAAATATAGTGAATTCTTTAAAATCCTTCTTCTTCTGTAGGAATGAAAGGATTTGTTCCATATTTAGTCTGAAGCATCCTTGGGTAAAAGGGAACGAATTTTGCATAAACCTTGGGTCTGGCCCCCGAGGGGCCTGAGGGGTGGGGCCATATATGGGAAACATAGCAAATTCTTTAAAATCCTTCTTATTTTCTAGGAATGAAAGGATTTGTTCCATATTTGGTCTGAAGCATCCTTGGGTGAAGGGGAACCAATGCTGTATAAACCGTGGGTCTGGCCCCTGAAGGGCCTGAGGGGCAGGGCCCAGTAGGGAACACATAATAAATTCTTTAAAATCCTTCTTCTTCTGTAGGAATGAAAGGATTTGTTCCATATTTAGTCTGAAGCATCCTTGGGTAAAAGGGAACCAATTTTGTATAAACTGGGGGTCTGGCCCCTGAGGGGCCTGAGGGGCAGGGCCCAATAGGGGAAATATAGCAAATTCTATAAAATCCTTCCTCTTCTGTAGGAATGAAAGGATTTGTGTCGATCATATTTAGCCTGAAGCATCCTTGGGTGAAGGGGAACGAATTTTGCATAAACCTTGGGTCTGGCCCCCGAGGGGCCTGAGGGGTGGGGCCAAATATGGGAAACATAGCAAATTCTTTAAAATCCTTCTTATTTTCTAGGAATGAAAGGATTTGTTCCATATTTGGTCTGAAGCATCCTTGGGTGAAGGGGAATCAATGTTGTATAAACCATGGGTCTGGGCCCCCAGGGGCCTGAGGGGCATGGGCCAAAAAGGGGCAATTGGGCTATATTGATTTAAGCACTGGATATCAACCATATTTGACTGGAAGCATCCCTAGGTGGTGGGGATTTAAAATTGTACAAATGGTTGGGCTGACCCCCCAGGGGGCTGAGGGGCGGTGCCAAAAGGGGGCAATTTGGCCATATTGCTATAAATGACTTCTTCTGTAGAATTATGCCATAGATATCGATCATATTTAGCATTCATGGGAGGCAGGGATTCAAAATTGTACAAATGGTGGAGCTGACCCCCCCCCCCCCGTGCTAAGGGGTGGGGCCAAAAAAAGTTTCTTACTTGGGAATGGTTGAGATCCCCACGATATAACCATATATACAATTGTGGAGTATAAAGAGAAGCATGCACATTTGCTTCCAGGATGGCCTAGGGTCTGGCCCCATCCTTTGGGACAAAGTCCCTGGGTCATAACTTTGAAACGGTTGAGATCCCCACCCCAGAACTATATATACAAATGCTTGGTATAAAGAGATAAAAGAAGTCATGGTATTAGAATAGACCCTGGGGTCTGACCGAACCCCTAGGGACCTAGTTTCTTAGTCACAGCTTGGAAACAGTTGAGATCCCCACCCTATAACCATGCATATATACGATTGCTGAGTATAAAGAGATGAATGCACATATGCTTCCAGGATGGCCTTGGGGTCTGCCCAACCCTTGGAGACTTAACCCCTGGGTCATAACTTCAAAATGGTTGAGATCCCCACCCCATAACCATACATTAAATTGCTGGGCATGAAAAATCTAATACAGACATACTACAAGAATTGGCATTGGGGTCTGGCATATTCCCTTGGATCTCATTTGGAGAATATTTTGCCATGATTGCTTAGTTATCCATGTGAGCGATACAGGCCCTCTGGGCATTTTGTTCAATTTAGCGAGCCTGAAGGTGAGCTAAAATGAAAAAATTGTGACGAGTTTCATAAATTTTATATGAAATTAAAACGAGTGTAAGATCCTTTTTATCATATTATCAAGTTTTGTGGCATTTATTAGGTCACCTGAGAAATAGGTCTCAAGTGACCTATTGCGATCACCTTTTGTCGTGCATCGTGCGTCCGTAAACAATTTACATTTACAACTTCTTCTCCAAACCCAGATATGATAGAATCAAATACTCTTCATAGATGCCTGAGGGGTGGGGCTAAAATAGGTCAAATTGACTAATATTTCAAAAATCTTCTTCTCAAGATCCAGATATGGTAGAATTAAATACTCTTCATAGATGGAAGGGTCTTAAGGTGCTTTACCATAATTCAGCTGACTGATAGAACCACTATTTGTACATAGTACATTTACTACCCAGATCTTTCACACTACTTTTGCATTGCATGTAGTTCAAGTTACCTTTGTTGCAAAATTATTTCTTTTTCATTTGGCAACATCGATAACATCAGTTTTTAAATAACTAAGGTGACTGTTAAGGCCCATGGGCCTCTTGTTTGTGTAAAACGACAATTTTCATGCTTGACTCCTGTGCGTAAATCTGTGATGTTATGTACTTGTCCTAGGCGTGACGTCACAATTGAAACAATTGAAACTTACAACCTATCAAAGGACTGATAGGTCAGATTACATGGGTTAATACGCAAACAAATATGACATGGGTATATTTACTGGATAACACAGAACATTATGTGATAAATATTTGTATTTAGGCTAAGATGCTATATACATTGGCTAACCTAGGGTTTAATGATATTATCTGCTGATTTCAGAGTATCCTGGCTTTGAACCCGAGAGTCCTTCACAGCGCCAGTTTAGTACCCAGTGCAGCCACCAAGCAGAACAGGAAACACTGGAAAAGGAACCAGGACAAAGGATGTTCGGTAAAGGTTACTCTGTGGTCTCTTTGTGATGGCTAATCTGATCTGTAAATACTTGAGGGAACTGCCTTGGTGTGTTCTGATTGTGATCGTTTAATGATAAATGTGGGCCCCATTTATGTCCTTATTGAGGAAGGCCTTTACTACAAACAGCAGGACTGTAACAGTATATGGGAAAACCGGTATATCACATTACACAGGCATAGTGTATCGTATCACAATATTTTTGAAGACCTCATGACTCTATGTACCTGATAGGTGTTTTAACTTTGCAAATTTCTTCACATTATAACAGATACCAATAACCATAAAACAGGTTATTACTTGTGATGGGAATCAGTTTAAATATCATAATCGATGGTTGGTTTGACACAAATCTTAAATCTGTTTGATCTATATTATATATGATAACATTTTGACAACAATTTCTTTTTAAAATGAGCACCATTTTCCTATGAGGGTATATCAGATAGGTATGGCAATACAATTATTCTGTATTGCAATATGTTGTGATACACTGTAGGTGTATTGTGACACCCCTAACATATAGTATCAAATTGATCAATCTTTTGACTACTGAGGATAGTTAAGTCTTCCGTTAGAATGAAGCTCTGCAGTCATCATATGTGTTCTTTTGAGGGTGAAACTTTTCTGTGATTCAAGATTTATATAGCTGTGAAAGGGAGACACCTAGAAATGCCCACTTTACAAGTAAAAATGGGAGATATATGTGTTAAACATTACCCGTTAAAAGGGAGATATATGTGTTAAACATTACCCGTTAAAAGGGAGATATATGTGTTAAACATTACCCGTTAAAAGGGAGATATATGTATTAAAGGGCAAGTGAGATTATATGTTGTGGTTGGGTTGTCCATCCTACTATAGTCCTAAACAGTTCAGTGGATATTGATTACAAGGGTATATTGGCCTGGAGCATCCTTGAGCAAAGGGGACTCAATTTTGTATAAACAGAAAGTGTGGCCTCCTTTGGGGCAGAGGGAAAGGGTCCAGTAGGGGAAATTGAGGTATATCCTTAAAATCCTTCTCCTTCTGTACAATTGTGGGACTTTACCAAAATTTGGTCCAGAGCATACTAGGGCAAAGGGGGTTCATTTTATATTACAGAGGACGTGGCCCCATGGGGGCAGATGGTTGGTAAAATTAAATTAGAGTAAATCTTTAGTAGATGATTAGGGCCCGATAAGGAAATTAAAATACATCTATATAGTTGTACTCCGTCTGTACAGTTGGAGGGACTTTGACAAAATAAGGTCAAGAGCATACTTAGACAAACGGGACTCAATTTTGTATATGGAGGTTGTGGTCCCCTTTGGGCAGAGGGGAGAGACCAAATATGGGCAAATGAGATAAATCTTTAAAAGCCTTCTCCTTTTGTCGATTGGAGGGATATTTTACCTAATTTTGTCGAGAGCTTCCGAGGGCAAAAGGGACTCAATTTTGTATAAATGTTGAGTGTGTTCCCCTTGGGGCAGAGTGTTGGCCGGGCTCAATGGGGCAACATAGTGATAAATGTTTAAAATCCTCCTCCTTCACTATGATTGGAGGGATTTTGTGTAGAGCCATCCTTTGGTAAAGGGGACAAAGTTTTGTATAAATGGAGGTTGTGGCCCTCCTGGGGACAGAGGGGTGGAGCTCCATAGGGGAACCAAGTGATACATGTTTGAATTCAGTACGATTGGAGGAATTTTAACCAAATTTTGTATAGAGCATCCTTGGGGCAAAGGGGACTCAATTTTGCATAAAAGAATGATGCCCCCCTGGGAATAGTGAGAGAGGTAGGACCAAATAGGGGAAGTTGAGGTAAATATTTGAAATCCTTCTTCTTCAGTTCGTTTGGAGGAATTTTAACCAAATTTTGTGAGAGCATCCTTAACCAATGCAAAGGGGACCCAATTTTGCATAAACAGAGGGTGTGGGTCCCCTGTGGCAGATGGGAGGGGCCCAATGGGGGAAGTTGTGGTAAATATTTAAAAAACACCCTACTTTATGGGTGCAGAAAGAAGGGACATAATGAGGAACTTGGGATTCTAAGAGACAGCCAATATTTGGAAAAAGTTGCAGTATGATATTAAATGAGAATATTTCCCCATGGTTGCTTGAGCACTACAGGCACTCTGGGCCTCTTGTTATTATTTGACACCAAACATGTATCATAAATTACTGAGTAACCTTGAAGGTTAGTTGATTTATTAGTTATTTATGTATTTCCAAGGTGTTTGAACTGGTTTTGTTTGACTCCAATTGTTAGAAGTACATTGCTCTCTATATTTAATATGTTTAAGTCATCATGTAGCTGAGCCAGTCAGTGATTTTCCTAGTTTTACAGCCGAATACAGGCTGTTTCCCCTAGCTTAAAAGTACTTTATTTTCCAAAAATGAAGAAAAAAATCAGGAAAATCTTCCCGATTTCCATAAAAAACCCCAATGCTTTATCTTCCCAATTCATGTAGGAACAGGCTGTTGTAAAAGATAGGCTAAAAATCATTTCCAGGATATCCCTGTAGCATATATCACAAATTTGTCAAAAATGATGGAAACATGCAGCCTTTTTACAAATCTAGCTTGGACAGTAAATATTAAATCTTTTAAATTTCATTTTCAGTCTTGTGAGCCCAAAGAGAAGAATTTTTCTGACATCAAACACACAACCCTGAGTGAACGAGGGGCTCTGAGAGAAGCATCAAGGTATGAGTCACATGCATTTCCTATGACCCAACAGCTCTTGTCTCAGCTTGTCTGTGTCATTAAAAAGCTTGTCTCTGTACACATGTCTCTTCCTGGTCACAGGAGTTGCCTGTATCAGTCTGTCTAAGTCGCACAAGTCCTTTGTATCAGTCTGTCTGTGTCACAAAAGTGCTTGTCTCAGCCTATTTCTTGGCACAAGTACTCTGATTACACATTGCAAGTCTTAAAGCCAGCTTCTCTGTAGTTCCATAGAATTATCTCAACCTCTGACTAATACTCTTAGTATCCTCTGTGTCAACCTCAGACCAATACATTAATCAGCCTGTCTCTGGCCACTTATGTCCAATATCTTGGCCTATCTGTGGCCACAGTATTAAGTTCGATATCTCAGCTTTTCTCTGGTCTTAGAAATTGTATATTTCAGCCTCCCTCTTGCCACTAAATCCTATATTTCAGCCTCTCTCTGGCACTAAGTTTTATATCTCAGCTATATTCATGTCATATTTCGATTTCTGTCATGTCACAGAGTCACACAAGCATGTTTAGCCCCCCAATCCTTTGTTCTCACAGCATCCTTAGTATAAATGTACATTCCCCTGGTACATTTATTTTCCTTCCTAATTCTCTAATATCAATGTAATTCCTCTGTCAACATTGGATATGAGCAGGCTTATATTTTAGTTCTCAATAATAATTGTCAGCACATGATGTTTTATCTATAAAGTTCAACTATTGTAACTTACCTTAATTACAGCTTTCTGTCTTGAAAAACCAAATTGATGTAGGAAGATGGTTGTTGCTGTTTATTAACGCTAGGTTTTAAATAACATTGGCTAGGGATGAGATCATTGGGTTACACTATACACACAACAATAAAACTATAGAAGTAAAAAGTCTTCTTTATCCAATAGTAGAAAGTGCTAAAAATCTGACAGATTCCAGTTGAGTTAACAAGAAGGCAGGTACACAACTTGTTTGAGATTTTATGATTAAGCAGTGTAGAGCTAAGTCACCTGGCAACCAATACACCTGTGCTGTGTTATTTCTTTGGATATAACCAATGAATTATTTATAAGAGGTTTAATCCTCTTTGTGCCGTGGGATGCGAAATTTCAATCATGTAAGACCCTGTCAATATGCAGTATCATGAATAGTAGATTGTCACCTCAGTTTCTGACCTCGTCGTAAATCTGTAAATTATACATATATTGTTACATTTGCAGAAATTGTCAAGTTAAACACTTGGTTGTGAATTAAATATAAAGGATACTATATAAATTTTGATTTACAATAATTAAAAATGAACCTCTCGTGACAGTGTTGTGATAGAACGTAAGATAGTTTCTGCTTGACGTATCTTTACAGTTTAGTGATTTGAATATATGTACCATGTACATGTTTTGACATTTTTAGTGGGAAATAACTTCCTCGTATATATTATTTATGATCAGGAGTAACCTGTGGTATGAGTTATGGAGGGAGAGAACTCTCATCATACTTGTGGTATGAGTTATGGAGGGAAATAGCTCTCATCATACCTGTGGTATGAGTTATGGAGGGAGAGAGCTCTCATCATACCTGTGATATGAGTTACGGAGGGAGAGAGCTCTCATCATACCTGTGGTATGAGTTACTGTGGGAAAGAACTCTCAGCAAACCTGTGGTATGAGTTATGGAGGGGGAGAGCTCTCATCATACCTGTGGTATGAGTTATGGAGGGAAAGAGCTCTCATCATACTTGTGGTATGAGTTATGGAGGGAAAGAGCTCTCATAATACCTGTGGTTTGAGTTATGGAGGGAGAGAGCTCTCATCATACCTGTGATATGAGTTATGGAGGGAGAGAGCTCTCATCATACCTGTGGTATGAGTTACGGAGGGAGAGCTCTCTCATCATACCTGTGGTATGAGTTATGGAGGGGGAGCTCTCTCATCGTACTTGTGGTATGAGTTATGGAGGGAGAGTCTATCTCATCATACTTGTGGTATGAGTTATGGAGGAAAGGTGTCTCATCATACTTGTTGTATGAGTTATAGATGGAGAGCTCTCATCATACCTGTGGTATGAGTTATGGAGGGAGATCTATCTCATCATACTTGTGGTATGAGTTATGGAGGGAAAGAGCTCTCATCATACCTGTGGTATGAGTTATGGAGGGAGAGCTCTCTCATCATACTTGTGGTATGAGTTATGGAGGGAGAGCTCTCTCATCGTACTTGTGATATGAGTAATGGAGGGAGAGCTCTCTCATCATACTTGTGGTATGAGCTATGGAGGGAGAGCTCTCTCATCATACTTGTGGTATGAGTTATGGAGGGAGAGCTCTCTTATCATACTTGTGGTATGAGTTATGGAGGGAAAGAGCTCTCATCAAACCTGTGGTATGAGTTATGGAGGGAGAGAGCTCTCATCATATCTGTGGTATGCGTTACTGTGGGAAAGAACTCTCATCATACCTGTGGTATGAGTTATAGAGGGAAAGAGCTCTCATCATACCTGTAGTATGAGTTATAGAGGGAGAGAGCTCTCATCATACTTGTGGTATGAGTTACTGTGGAAAAGAACTCTCATCTTACCTGTTGTATGAGTTATGGAGGGAGAGAGCTCTCATCATACTTGTGGTATGAGTTATGGAGGGAGAGAGCTCTCTTCATACTTGTGGTATGAGTTATGGAAGGAGAGCTCTCATAATACCTGTGGTTTGAGTTATGGAGGGAGAGCTCTCCTCATACCTGTGGTATGAGTTATGAAGGGAGGGCTCTCTCATCATCATTGTGGTATGAGTTATGGAGGAGAGCTATCACATCATACTTGTGGTATGAGTTATGGGGGGAGAGCTATCTCATCATACTTGTATCTCATCATACTTGTGGTATGAGTTAGGGAGGGAGAGCTCTCATCATACCTGGGGTATGAGTTATGGAGGGAGATCTCTCTCAGTATTCCTTTGGTATGCGTTATGGAGGGAGCTCTCTCTCATTTTACTTGTTGTATGAGTCATGGAGGGAGAGAGCTCTCATCATACCTGTGATATGAGTTACGGCTGAGTGAGCTCTCATCATACCTGGGGTATGAGTTATGGAGGAGAGCTATCTCCTCATACTTGTGGTATGAGTTAGGGAGGGAGAGCTCTCTCATCATTCTTGTGATATGAGTTATGGAGGGAGAGCTCTCTCATCAAACTTGTGGTATGAGTTATGGAGGGAGCTCTCTCTCATTTTACTTGTGGTATGAGTCATGGAGGGAGAGAGCTCTCATCATACCTGTGATATGAGTTACGGGTGAGTGAGCTCTCATCATACCTGTGGTATGAGTTATGGAGGGAGGGCTCTCTCATCATACTTGTGGTATGAGTTATGGAGGGAGAGCTATCTCATCATACTTGTGGTATGAGTTATGGAGGAGAGCTCTCTCATTATCCTTTAGGTTTGAGTTATGGAGGGAGAGAGCTCTCATCATACCTGTGATATGAGTTATTGAGGGAGAGAGCTCTCATCATACCTGTGGTATAAGTTATGGAGGGAGAGAGCTCTCCTCATACCTGTGGTATGAGTTATGGAGGGAGAGCTATCTCTTCATACTTGTGGTATGAGTTATGGAGGAGAGCTCTCTCATTATCCTTTAGGTTTGAGTTATGGAGGGAGAGAGCTCTCATCATACCTGTGGTATAAGTTATGGAGGGAGAGAGCTCTCCTCATACCTGTAGTATGAGTTATGGAGGGAGAGCTATCTCATCATACTTGTGGTATGAGTTATGGAGGAGAGCTCTCTCATTATACTTGTGGTATGAGTTATGGAGGGAGAGCTCTCATCATACCTGTGGTATGAGTTATGGAGGAGAGCTCTCTCATTATACTTGTGGTATGAGTTATGGAGGGAGAGCTCTCTCATTATACTTGTGGTATGGGTTATGGAGGGAGAGCTCTCTCATCATACTTGTGTGTGAGTTATAGAGGGAGAGCTCTCTCATCATACTTGTGGTCTGAGTTATGGAGGGAGAGCTGTCTCATCATACTTGTGGTATGAGTTATGGAGGGAGAGCTCTCATCATACCTGTGGTATGAGTTATCTTGTGGTATGAGTTATGGAGGGAGAGCTCTCTCATCATACTTGTGGTATGAGTTATGGAGGGAGAGCTATCTCATCATACCTGTGGTATGAGTAATTGAGGGAAAACTCTCTCATCATACTTGTGGTATAAGTTATAGAGGGAGAGCTATCTCATCATACTTGTGGTATGAGTTATGGAGGAAGAGCTCTCTCATCATACTTGTGGTATGCGTTATGGAGGGGGAGCTCTCTCATCATACCTGTGGTATGAGTCATGGAGGGAGAGGGCTATCATCATACCTGTGATATGAGTTATGGAGGGAGAGAGCGCTCATCATACCTGTGGTATGAGTTATGGAGCATCATACTTGTGGTATGAGTTATGGAGGAAGAGCTCTCTCATCATACTTGTGGTATGCGTTATGGAGGGGGAGCTCTCTCATCATACTTGTGGTATGAGCTATGGAGAGAGAGGTCTCTCATCATACTTGTTGTATGAGTTATGGAGGGAGAGCTCTCTCATTATACCTGTGGTATGCGTTATGGAGGGAGCTCTCTCTCATTTTACTTGTGGTATGAGTCATGGAGGGAGAGAGCTCTCATCATTCCTGTGGTATGAGTTATGGAGGGAAAGAGCTTTCATCATACCTGGGGTATGAGTTATGGAGGGAAAGAGCTCTCATCATACCTGTGGTATGAGTTATTGAGGGAAAACTCTCTCGGAGAGCTATCTCATCATACTTGTGGTATGCGTTATGGAGGGGGAGCTCTCTCATCATACCTGTGGTATGAGGCATGGAGGGAGAGGGCTATCATCATACCTGTGATATGAGTTATGGAGGGAGAGAGCACTCATCATACCTGTGGTGTGAGTTATGGAGGGAGAGAGCTCTCATCATTCCTGTGGTATGAGTTATGGAGGGAAAGAGCTTTCATCATACCTGTGGTATGAGTTATGGAGGAAGAGCTCTCTCATCATACTTGTGGTATGCGTTATGGAGGGGGAGCTCTCTCATCATACCTGTGGTATGAGGCATGGAGGGAGAGGGCTATCATCATACCTGTGATATGAGTTATGGAGGGAGAGAGCCCTCATCATACCTGTGGTATGAGTTATGGAGGAGAGCTATCTCATCATACTTGTGGTATGCGTTATGGAGGGAGAGCTCTCTCATCATACCTGTGGTATGAGTCATGGAGGGAGAGGGCTATCATCATACCTGTGATATGAGTTATGGAGGGAGAGAGCACTCATCATACCTGTGGTATGAGTTATGGATGGAGAGAGCTCTCATCATACCTGTGGTATGAGTTATGGAGGGAAAGAGCTTTCATCATACCTGTGGTATGAGTTATGGAGGGAAAGAGCTCTCATCATACCTGTGATATGAGTTATGGAGGGAGAGAGCTCATCATTTAAGGTTATCATTTAAGTAACTGTTTATTCCATTAATTTATATTTATAACATTTTCCTCAAAAACTGGTTTTTACATGTATATATAAACATCTAATGTTTAAAATAAATATCAAATCATATATCCGTCCGTCCGTCAACTTTTCATTTGAAACGCTACTTGTCCTGAACGGCCCAGTAGATTTTGACCAAATTTGGTCAGAAGCATCTTTGAGGGAAGAGGAACCAATGTTATATAAACGGTGGGTCTGGCCCCCCAGGGGCTTGAGGGGCGAGGTCCAATAGAGGAAACATAGCAAATTAGTCTTTAAAATCCTTAACCTTCTGTAGGAATAAAAAGATTTGATCCATATTTGGTCTGAATCATCCTTGGGTGAAGGGGAACCAATTTTGTATAAATGGTGGGTGTGGCCCCCCTGGGGGCTGAGGGGCGGGGCCCAATAGGGGAAATATAGCAAATTGTCTAAAATCCTTCTTCTTCTGTAGGAATGAAAGGATTTATTCTATATTTTCTCAGAGGCGTCCTTGGGGGAAGAGGAACCAAAATTTTATAAACCGTGGGTCTGGCCCCCCAGGGGCTTGATGGGCGAGGTCAAATAGAGGAAACATAGCAAATTAGTCTTTAAAATCCTTAACCTTCTGTAGGAATAAAAAGATTTGGTCCATATTTGGTCTGAATCATCCTTGCGTGAAGAGGAACCAATTTTGTATAAACCGTGGGTCTGGCCCCCCCAGGGCCCACTTGTATAAAACATCTCAAAGTTAAGGAAAATCTCAAGCAATGTATTGTCTATGGGAAATCTTAGACTTAAGGAAATCTCAAGAGTTGAGATGTTTTATACAAGTGGGCCCAGGGGCCTTAGGGGCAGGCCCATAAGGGGAAACATAGCAAATTATTCTTTAAAATCCTTCTTATTCTCTCAGAATGAAAGGTTTTATTCCATATTTTGTGTGGAGTATCCTTGGGTAAAGGGGAACAAATTTTGTATAAATGGTGGGTGTGGCACCCCTTGGACCTGAGGGGCGTGCCCAATAGGGGAAATAGAGGTAAAACTTTTAAAATCCTTCTTCCACCATCGGGATTAAGGGATTTTATCCTAATTTGGTTTTGAGGATCCTATGGCCAAGGGGACTCAATTTTGTATAAGCAGACGGTGTGGTCTCAAAGGGGGCAGAAGGATGGGGCCCAATAGGGGAAATAGAGGTAAATCTTTAAAATCCTTCTTCTACCATAGGGTTGAAGGATTTCTGCCCAATTTGGTCTGGAGAATCTTGGGCAAAAGAGACTCAATTTTGTATAAACAGTGAGTGTGGCCCCCCTTGGGGCAGATTGGCGGGCCCATTTGGGAAAATATAGCAAATTCTTCAAAAACCTTCTTCTGTACGAATGACAGGATTTTGTCCAAATTTGGTATGAAGCATCCTTGGGTGAAGAGGAACCAATTTTGTATAAACGGTGTGTCTAAACCCCCTGGAAGCAGAGAGGCGGGGCCTAATAGGGGAATTAGAGGTAAAACCTTTAAAATCCTTCTTCTACCATAGGGATTAAGGGATTTTATCCTAATTTAGTCTGGAGCATCCTTTGGCCAAGTGGACTCAATTTTGTATAAGCAGTGGGTGTGGTCTCCCAGGGGGCAGAAGGGTGGGGCCCAATAAGAGAAATAGAGGTATAACCTTTAAAATCCTTCTTCGACCATCGGGATTAAGGGATCTTATCCTTATTTAGTCTGGAGCGTCCTTGGGCCAAGGGGACTTAATTTTGTATAAACAGTGGGTAAGACCCCCCTAGGGGCATAGTGGTGGGGCTCTGTTTGAAGTTTGTTCTCGCTATATCTCAAGTACTGGATGGATCTTTCTGAAAATTCATATGTACTTACAGCACCTACCATTGAGTGCTATATCTTTACTTCATACCAATTATTTTAAACACATTCAGGTCAGCGATACAGGCCCTCTTGGCCTCTTGTTCTGATATACAATAATTTCTAAAACTTCCTATATTTAATTCAATATCTGATTAGTTTGTAAATTTATCTTGATATTAACTTTAATTACTTTAATAATTTTTTCTACAGATGTTTGAAGTGTGCAGATGCTCCCTGTCAGAAGAGTTGTCCAACACAGCTGGACATAAAGTCATTCATAACAAGTATAGCAAACAAGGTACATTCTTACTGAACAGGGACAATGGTAGGTTGGACCTCACTAAACACACAGTGGTCAGTAGGACCTCACTAAACACACTGTGGTCGGTAGGAACTCACTAAACACACAGTCGTTAGTAAGACCACACTAAATACACAGTGGTCAGTAGGACCTCACTAAACACAATGGTCAGTAGTACCTCACTAAACACAGTGGTCGGTAGGACCTCACTAAACACACAGTGGTCTGTAGGACCTCAGTAAACACACAGTCGTTAGTAAGACCACACTAAACAAAAAGTGGTCAGTAGGACCTCACTAAACACAATGGTCAGTAGGACCTCACTAAACACATAGTGGTCAGTAGAATCTCACTAAACACACAATGGTCAGTAGGACCTCACTAAACACACAGTGGTCAGTAGGACCTCACTAAACACACAGTCGTTATTAAGACCACACTAAACACAATGGTCAGTAGGACCTCACTAAACACAGAGTGGTCAGTAGAATCTCACTAAACACACAATGGTCAGTAGGACCTCACTAAACACACAATGGTCAGTAAGACCACACTTAATACACAGTGGTCAGTAGGACCTGACCACTAAACAAACAGTGGTCTGTAGGACCTCACTAAACATAGTGGAAAATACGACCACACTAAACAACCAATGGTCAGTAGGACCTCACTAAACACAATGGTCAGTAGGACCTCACTAAACACACAGTGGTCAGTAGGACCTCACTAAACACACAGTGGTCAGTAGGACCTCACTAAACACACAGTCGTTAGTAAGACCACACTAAACACAATGGTCAGTAGGATCTCACTAAACACACAGTGGTCAGTAGGACCTCACTAAACACACAGTGGTCAGTAGGACCTCACTAAACACACAATGGTCAGTAGGATCTTACTAAACACACAGTGGTCCTACTCACAGTGGTCTCTAGGACCACACTAAACACAAAGTGGTCGGTAGGACCTCATTAAACCCACAGTAGTCAGTAGGACCACACTGAATACACAGTGGTCAGTAGGACCTCACTAAACACAAAGTGGTCAGTAGGACCTCACTAAAGCAGGACAGTGGTCAGTAGGACCTCACTTAACACACAGTGGTCAGTAGGACTACACTAAACACACATTAGTCAGTAGGACCTCACTCAACACACAGTGGTTAGTAGGACCACCCTAAATACACTGTGGTCAATAGGACCTCACTAAAGACAGTGGTCAGTAAGACCACACTAAAAACACAGTGGTCGGTAGGACTTCACTAAACACACAGTGGTCAGTAGGTTCTTTCCTTAGATTTGCAAGGACAGTGGTCAGTAGGTTCTTCCCTTACACATTTAAGGACAGAGTTGTATTGAGTGATGTCAGTCTGTCGTTATATCCCTTACAATTGGTTAATTGCAGAACTTCTACGGAGCAGCTAAGTCCATTTTGTCAGACAATCCTCTTGGCCTTACTTGTGGTATGGTCTGCCCGACCTCTGACCTCTGTGTTGGTGGTTGTAACCTGTATGCCTCTGAAGAAGGACCAATAAACATCGGAGGATTACAGCAGTTTGCCACTGAAGTAAGAACCAATTGAAGTAAACTGTGGACATCTTAAGTAAAATCTGTAAACTTACAGTAAACAGTGAATTCTTACAGGATACTTAACACAATGCATTAGACTCTGAAAATGATTTAAAGCTCATTGAAATTTTATTGACTTTTAAAAACTTATCTGTAAATATTGGCTTCCATTCATGAACTTTTTACAGGAAACCTATATTGAAAAAATAAAAGGTAACTAACTTTTTTTCACTATTGCAATTAGTCGTTACTCGAATATGTGATATGGTCAATGATAATTGAGACTATGATATATCAATATGCCTGTTACCTACTAGGTATTCAAAGCTATGAAGATTCCACAGATTCGTGATCCAGGGTTGCTTCCCCTTGAAGAGCTGCCTGAGAGTTACCAGACCAAGGTGGCTCTTGTGGGCTGTGGGCCTGCTAGCATCAGCTGTGCCACCTTTCTGGCGCGCCTCGGCTATTCAAATCTCACTATATTTGAGAAGAATGATTATATAGGGGGACTGAGGTAGGGATATCAGATTCATTGCAAACAACTGGCAAGAAAAACAATAATAATTTAATATGTTATTTATATTTTCAAGACTTTCCAAGAATTTTATGGAAGGTGGTAATTTGACATGTTAATACGGTATATTATTAGCTCACCGAAGGACCAAGGTGAGCTTATGCCATACCGTGGCGTCCGTCCGTCGTCCATCCGTCGTCCGTCGTCCGTCCTTCCATTGTCCGTACGTCACCAATTTCTTTAAATGACTTTTTTCTTAACCACTGATTGGAATTCAAATAAATTTGAATTGAAGCATCCTTAGGTGGTGGGGATTCAAAATTGTACAAATGGTTGGGCTGATCCCCCAGGGGGCTGAGGGGCGGGGCCAAAAGGGGTCAAATTGGCTATATTGCTTTAAGCGACTTCTCCTCTGGAACTAAGAGGTGGATATCAACCATATTTGACTGGAAGCATCTTTAGGTAGTTGAGATTCAAAATTGTACAAATGGAGGGAGCTGACCCCCTAGGGGGCTGAGGGGAGGGGCCAAAAATGGGCAATTTTGCTATATTGCTACAAACGACTTCTTCTGTAGAACTATGCACTCATATTAATCATATTTAATCAAAAGCATTTATGGGAGGTAGGGGTTCAAAATTGTACAAATGGTGTGGCTGACCCCCCAGGGGGCTGATGGGCGGGGCCAAAAAGGGTTATTTGGCTATACTGCTTTAAGCTACTTCTTTGGAACTAAGTGATGGATTTCAACCATATTTGACTGGAAGCATCCCTAGGTAGTGGGGATTCAAAGTTGTACAGATGGAGGGGCTGACCCCCCAGGGGGCTGAGAGGTGGGGCCAAAAGGGGGCAATTTGGCTATATTGCTATAAACAACTTTTTCTGTAGAACTTTGCTATGGATATCGATCGTATTTGGTGGTAAGCATTCATGGGAGGCAGGGATTCACAATTGTACAAATGGTGTGGCTGACCCCCCTAGGGGGCGGGGACCAAAAACAGTATTTGGCTATATTGCTTTAAGCGACTTCTTCTTTGGAACTAAGAGATGGATATTCGCCAATATTTGACAGGAAGCATCCCTAGGTAGTGGAGATTCAAAATTGTACAAATGATGGGGCTGACCCCACCGGGCTAAGGGGTGGGGCCAAAAAAGGTTTATTACTTAGAAATGGTTGAGATCCCCACCGTATAACCATATATACAATTGCTGAGTATAAAGAGAAGAATGCACATCTTTTTCCAGGATGTCCCTAGAGTCTGGCCCCACCCTATGAGACATATTCCGAGGGTCATAACTTTGAAACGGTTGAGATCCCCACCCCAAAACTATATATACAAATACTGGGCATAAAGAGACGAATGTAGTGATGATATAAGAATAGACCCTGGGGTCTGACCAAACCCCTAGGGAACTTGTTTCTTAGTCACAGCTTGGAAACAGTTGAGATCCCCATCCTATAACTGTATATACAATTGCTGAGTATAAAGAGATTAATGCACATATGCTTCCAGGATGTCCTTGGGGTCTGCACCATCCTTGGAATCTTAACCCCTGGGTCATAACTTCGAAATGGTTAAGATCCCCACCCCAAAACTATATATACAATTGTTGGGCATAAAGAGACGAATGCAGTCATGATATTAAAATTGACCCAAGGGTTTGCCCCAACCTTGCAGACTTAAACCTTGGGTCATAACTTCGAAACAGTTGAGATCCCCAACCCAAAACTATAGAAACAAATGCAGGGCATGAAAAATCTAATACAGATATGCTACAAAGATTGGCTTTGGGGTCTGGCATATTCCCTTGGATCTCATTTAGAGAATATTTTGCCATGCTTTCTTAGATATCCAGGTGAGCGATACAGGCCCTCTGGGCCTCTTGTTAAAGCATGTGTCTGTTTTTGATTAATGATGTATATATGTATAAAATAGATGTCTGGTGTGTTTTCAGTTCCTCCGAGATTCCTCAGTACCGTCTTCCCTACAGTGTGGTCGATTTTGAAGTGGAGCTGATGAAGGATGTTGGAGTCAAGGTAAGTACCTTGTTAGCTCACCTGGTCCGAAGGACCAAGGTGAGCTTATGCCATATTGTGGCGTCCGTCCTCCGCCCGTCGTCCGTTGTCCGTCCGTCGTCTGTACGTCAACAATTTCTTTAAACGACTTCTTCTTCTTAACCACTGATTGGAATTCAACTAAATTTGAATGGAAGCATCCTTAGGTGGTGGGGATTCAAAATTGTACAAATGGTTGGGCTGATCCCCCAGGGGGCTGAGGGTCGGGGCCAAAAGGGGTCAATTTGGCTATATTGCTTTAAGCGACTTCTCCTCTAGAACTAAGAGGTGGATATCACCTATATTTGACTGGAAGCATCCCTAGGTAGTGGAGATTCAAAATTGTACAAATGGTGGGGCTGACCCCCTAGGAAGCTGAGGGGCTGGGCCAAAAATGGGCAATTTGGCTTTATTGCTACAAACGACTTCTTCTGTAGAACTATGCACTGGATATCAATCATATTTGATTAAAGCATTTATGGGAGGTAGAGATTCAAAATTTTACAAATGGTGTGGCTGAACCCCCAGGGGGCTGAGGGGCGGGGCCAAAAAGGTTTATTTGGCTTTTCTGCTTTAAGCGACTTCTTCTCTGGAACTAAGCGATGGATATCAACCATATTTGACTAGAAGCATCCCTAGGTAGTGGGGATTCAAAATTGTACAAATGGAGGGGCTAACCCCCCAGTGAGCTAAGGGGTGGGGCCAAAAGGGGGCAATTTTTCTATATTGCTACAAACGACTTCTTACTGGATATCAATCATATTTGATCAAAAGCATTCATGGGAGGCAGGGATTCAAAATAGTACGAATGGTATTGCTGATCCCTAAGGAGGCTGCGGGGCGGGGGCCAAAAAGGGTATTTGGCTATATTGCTTTAAGCGACTTCTTCTCTGAAACTAAGTGATGGATATCAACTATACTTGACTGGAATCATCTCTTAGTGGTAGAGATTCAAAATTGTACAAATGGAGGGGCTGACCCCTGAGAGGCGGGGCCAAAAAGGTGTCAATTTGGCTATATTGCTTTAAGCGACTTCTTATCTGGAACTAAGAGATGTATATTAACCATATTTGACAGGAAGCATCCCTAGGTAGTGGAGATTCAAAATTGTACAAATGATGGGGCTGACCCCACCGGGCTAAGGGGTGGGGCCAAAAAAAGTTTATTACTTGGAAATGGTTGAGGTCTCCACCATATAACCATATATATAATTGCTGAATATAAAGAGAAGAATGCACATCTTTTTCCAGGATGGCCCTAGGGTCTGGCCCCACCCTATGAGACATAGTCCCACGGTCATAACTTTGAAACGGTTGAGATCCCCACCCCAAAACTATATATACAAATACTGGGCATAAAGAGAAGAATGTAGTGATGATATAAGAATAGACCCTGGGGTCTGACCAAACCCCTAGGGAACTTGTTTCTTAGTCACAGCTTGGAAACAGTTGAGATCCCCATCCTATAACCGTATTTACCAATTGCTGAGTATAAAGAGATGACTGCACATATGCTTCCAGGATTGTCTTGGGGTCTGCCCCATCCTTGGAAATTTAACCCCTGGGTCATAACTTCGAAATGGTTAAGATCCCCACCCATCTGGCATATTCCCTTGCCCTTGGATCTCATTTGGATAATATTATGCCTTGCTTTCTTAGATATCCAGGTGAGCGATACAGGCCCTCTGTTAACAGGCTAGAGGTCAGTATTTTTTCAATGCCTCTGCTAAGAGTTGAACCTGGAACCTCTGGTTTACTAGGCTTACACACTACTGTTTGAGTTTAAGAGAAATTCTCCGTATTCGAGACGGAAGGAAGCGGCTAGTACTTTTACAAGGGTGACAAATGTGTAAGTTATGTTAAGTTCATTATTGACTATAAACTGAAGTCTATTAGATGTGACCATATATACATGTACAAGTGTATGTAGCTGGCCACTTTCGCATGACTATTAAGCTCTCTTTTTAATTGGTCTAATGTTGGAAATGTACACATTTATGAAGAATCCTATTTTTACAGCAATGTCATATTCTATGCAGCAAAACACAAAAGAATTATTTTAATTCCTAATTTCAATAGCAAACATAATTTAAAATATATATGTTATGTTTTTGAAATAAGGAGCCTTCAGAATGTATGTGTATTTTATGTGGTGAAATGTTGCATGATATCTAAATTAAATAAACCTAAATATCACAACATCAATATGATGGTGACAGGAGTTGTAATTTCAATTTCAGGTTATGAATGGCAAGGCTTTGTCAACTAAAGATCTCACACTGGAGGGTTTGAAGGGGCAGGGATATGAGGTGGTGTTCCTCGGCACCGGTAAGATGTTCATTTCAAACATTTACATTTCTGAATATATAACCATCAGTGTTCCACAGTAATAAGTACACTTTTGAGCTGTGAATAACGGAGAAGACTAATTTGCTTATCTTTATATATTGAGATTCATATAAACAATTGATATACATTTTATAGTTCAAATTAGAAAAAATATGGCCAAAAGTTGGGTGGTTTTCCAAAAATGTGGCAGGATTCCATATCTGTTACATGAATGTACCTGATAACCTAGCCCGAAGTTCCAAGTGAGCTTATGGTATGGTGCAGCGTCCGTCCAGCATCAACTTTTTCCTTTAAACAACTTCTTCTAAGTAACAAAAAAGGTTAGGGTGATGAAATTTTTCCAGAAGCATGCTGGGATAAAGAGCTACAAAGTCTGTTCAAATAAATGACCTTCATCCATTTTCAAGGTCACAGGGGTCAAATATGTTAAAATCTTTAAACAACTTCTTCTGAATAACCAAGAGGCCTAGGGTGATGATAGTTGGTCAGTAACATGCTGGGATGAAGGGCTACCAAGTTTGTTCAAATAAATGACCTTGACTTATATTCAAGGTCACAGGGATCAAATATGATTAAAACCTTTAAACAACTTCTTCTGAATAACCAAGAGGCCTAGGGTGATGATAGTTGGCTAGTAACATGCTGAAATGAAGGGCTACCAAGTTTGTTCAAATCAATGACCTTGATTTATATTCAAGGTCACAGGGGTCAAATATGTTTAAACTTTTAAACAAGTTCTTCTGAGTAACGGAGAGGGCTAGGGTGATGATATCTGGCCAGTTACATGCTAGGATGAAGGGCTACCAAGTTTATCCTCCAAATAATTGACCTTCACTTATTAGCTCACCTGGCCCGAAAGGGCCAAGTGAGCTTATGCCGTGGTGCGGCGTCCAGCGTCCGTACGGCGTCTGTCGTCCAGCGTCCGGCGTCAATATTTTGCTTTAAACAACTTATTCTCAATAACCAAAAGGCCTAGGGTGATGATAATTGGCCAGCAGCAAACTGGGATGAAGGGCTGCCAGGATTTATTTTTAAAAAATGACCTTGACTTATATTCAAGGTCACAGGGGTCAAATATGTTAAAAGCATTTAAACACCCTCTCAATAACCAAAATGACTGGGGAGATGATATTTGGCCAGTAGCATGCTTGGGAGAAGGGCTATCAAGTTTGTTCAAATAAATGACCTTCACCCATATTCAAGGTCACAGGGGTCAATTGTCTTAAAACACCTTTAAACAACTTCTTCTGAATAACCAAAATGCTCAGGGTGATGATATTTGGCCAGTAGCATGCTTAGATGGAGGGCTACCAAGTTTGTTGAAATGAGTGCCCTTCACCCTTATTCAAGGTCACAGCGGTCAAATATGTTTAAAAACCTTGAACAACTTCTTCTCAGTAACCCAAATGCCTAGATGTTGATATTTAGTCAGTAGCATACTAGGATGAAGGGCTACCAAGTTTGTTTAAATGCACGACCTTGAATCATATTCAAGGTCACAAGGAGCAAATATGTTCAAAATGTTTAAACAACTTGTTCTGAATAACTAAAAGGCCCAGGATGTTGATATTTAGTCAGTAACATGCTGGGATCAAGGACTACCGTGTTTGTTAAAGTGAATGACTTTGACTTATATTCAAGGTCACAGGGGTCAAATTTGTTTAAAATCTTTAAATGACCTCTTCTGATTAACCATGGGTCCCGGAATGTTGATATTTTGCAAGTTGCATCCTGAGATGAAAGACTATGAAATTTGTTCAACATAATGACCTTGTTCGATTTTCAATAACAGGGGTGAAATGTTTTAAAAAAAATTAACAGGTTTTATTCATAAATACTGATATTTTGCCTGTAGCTTTATTTTAGATCACTTTAAGGTTACAAGTGTGAGATTTACACCAGGTGAGCGATGCAGACCCATTGGGCCTCTTGTATTCAAGGTCACAGGGGTCCAATATGTTTAAAATCTTTAAACAACTTCTTCTGAATAACCAAGAGGCCTAGGGTGATGATATTTGACCAGAAACATGTTAGGATGAAGGGTTACCAAATTCTTTCAAATGAATAACCTTGAATCATATTCAAGGTCACTGGGGTCAAATATGCTAAAAACATTTAAACAACTTCTTCTGAATAACCAAGAGGCCTAGGGTGATGATATTTGGCCAGTAACATGCTGGGATGAATTGCTACCAATTTTGTTCAAATAAATGACCTTGACATATATTCAAGGTCACAGGGGTCAAAAATGTTTAAAACATTTCAACAACTTCTTATGAATAATCGAGAGGCCTAGGGTGCTTTAATTTGGCCAGTAACATGATGGGGTGAAGGGCTACCAAGTTTGTTCAAATCAATGACCTTGACATATATTTTACGGATATTAGTCAGAGCATGCATACACACTGTATAACGAAATTTAAACCCCTGCGAAATATAACTGCTATACAGTATCAAATAGTTAACTGTACATATATTTTCGCTAATAAATTTGTACTGTACATGATTTTGATAAAAATATCAGACCTCAAATCTGATAACAAAAACATTTGTGTACTGTTCCCTTCATAGGCCTCCCAGATTCAAAGAGGATTCCGATTTTCAAAGACCTGACAGAAGATATGGGATTTTACACTTCGAAGGATTTTCTGCCCAAGGTATCCAGAGCCAGCAAAGCAGGTGTGTTTTATGGGAGCAGTACAGGGATATAGAGGTCCTCCAATGAGTAATGGCCAGTTATCATGTTTATCTAACTCAAGTTTATTAAATTTCAAATTGTATCAAGACACAAGGTTTACTGAGTGTCTTTTAAAATGTTAAATTTACCTAAGAAGAGTTACATAAACATGATAATTATGCAACCTTTTTAATTTTGGGCCTTTTTCTCCCACAACGTTCAGATATCATATCTAGAAAACCATGTTTCTCTTGATTACATTATTCCTGTGTCCGATCGGGGAACAGCTAGTTGTCATGAAATTGTGATGACACATTGGAAGATGGCGTCCGAAAGCATTGCTACTTAACATCATAATTAGAAGATTGACCAATAAAATAATGTTCTGGGTGTTTCCCAATAGTGGGTAACCAAAAATGTTTACCAATTCCTAGCAGGTTTATCCATGAGTTAGAGTGGGGAAACCTATATTGAATGTGGGAGAAAATATTACACAACATAATGTAGCATCTTATCAAATTTCCAGGAAATAGCTCTTACCATCCAGAGACCAGTGCTTCCCCTTTATGGTTTTTTTTTTGAGACAGGTGTTCAGGTTAGATGTTCTCGTATATTGGCATTTGATTCCATTATTTTCATATTTATATGTTTCTTTTGTGCAGGAATCTGTTGTAAACTTTCCTTGTTAACCAGTGTAATTACACTTTCGTGTACTGCGGTACAGACCCTGGACTGTTTTTCTTGTCTGTTTAAACGCAAACTCAACGCAAACAGAACAGAAACGCAACGCAAACGTAACACAAACAGAAACACAACGCAAACGTAACGCGAACAGAAACACAACGCAAACAGAATCACAACGCAAACAGAAACACAACGCAAATGTAACGCAAACAGAAACACAACGCAAATGTAACGCAAACAGAAACACAACGCAAACGCACACAAAACGTTTGGTTAAAACACGTTCCTAAAACACAGTTTATAGTAGCCAAATAACAAACTTAGATTTGAATGTATCTGCTCGCGGAAGCGTGTCGGTCTCTGACCCCAACTCTGATCTGTATTTACCTATACAGTGCTCGCGTGTATTTTGCACAGCGGCAGATGTATATGCAACATTTTCCCTGTCAGCACAAAACATATAATTTGGAATGATGATTTTTCTGCCAATTGATTAGGTGTATTGATAATTCGTTTTCCAATGGAATGAAACTTCTAATGACATGTATTTATGAACTCAACATTACATTACATTTAACACATAATCAGTTAATCTTGACGACGCTGAAACACTTTCCTTTATATGAATTCATAAGATTGGAAGTATATTGATGTTGGTGGTTTCTCACTTATCTTTTTTTTTTACTATATTTTCCCCAAAAATCATTTCAAGATGAGGTTACGGGTATGGTCTTGAACAATGGTTCTTCGATATCAACAATACATATGGATACGTCTAGTAGATTGTTGATTTTTTTTTTAGTTTCAAATTTTGAATTTGTTGTTAAAAAATAGATATGTCATCAATTTGTTGGAAAATAATTAACAACCCAAACTAAATAATGTATGTGTAATTGCTTGTTTTTATTAGCTCACCTGGCCGAAGGGCAAGTGAGCTTATTTCGTGGTGCGGCGTCCGTCTTCCGTTCGTCCGTGCGTCCTCGTCCGTCAACTTTTCCTTTAAACAACTTATTCTGAAGAACGGATAGGCCTAGAGTCATGATATTTGGCTGAAGGCTTTGTTGGTAGGAGCCCTACAAAGTTTGAGAACGAAAATGACCTTGACCTACTTTAAAGGTCACAGGGGTCAAATATGTCAAAAACTTCAAACGACTTCTTCTGAAGAACTAAAAGGTATAGAATCTTCATATTTGGCTGATGGCTTCCTGGGATGAAGCTTAACAAAGTTTGAGAATGAAAATGACTTTGACCTACTTTCAAGGACACATGGGTCAAATATGTCAAAAACTTCAAATGACTTCTTCTGAAGAACTAAAAGGTATTGAATCTTCATATTTGGCTGATTGGTTCCTCGGATGGAGCCCAACGAAGTTTGAGAATGAAAATTACCTTGACCTACTTTCAAGGTCACAGGAATCAAATGTGTAAAAAGCTTCAAATGACTTCTTCTGAAGAACTGAAGGGTATAGAATCTTTATATTTGATTGATGGCTTCCTGGGATAGAGCCCGGCAAAGTTTGAGGAAGAAAATGACCTTGACCTACTTTCAAGGTCACAGGGGTCAAATGTGTCAGACACTTCAAACGACTTCTTCTGAACAACTGAAAGGTATAGAATCTTTATATTTGGCTTGTAGCTTCCTAGGAAAGAGCCCAACAAAGTTTGAGAATGAAAGTGACCTTGACCTACTTTCAAGGTCACAGAGGTCAACAGTATTTTAATGGATTTGTTCTTAAGAACTAAAAGAAATGGATTCATAAGATTTGGCTGGTAGCTTTTGGAATAGAGCTTACCAATTTGAGAAGGAAAATGACATTGACCTACTTACAAGGTCACAGGGAAAAATATGTCAAGCAACTTCTGAAGAATCAAAAAGCATAGAATCTTGTAATAATATTTTGCTGGTAGTTTCATGAGATGGAGCCAACAAAGTTTGTGAGGGAAATATTTTTAGTGCAATATAATATTTAATGAGAATATTTTGCTATGACTGCTTAAATATTCAAGTGAGCGATACAGGCCCTCTTGGGCCTCTTGTTTAAACTAGGCGATAGCAAATGTCCAAAAGGAGATAAAATATGAAACTTGTGTTTGGAAAATATTGGATATGAATATCATCATATTTATAAAACAAGTGAACGTGATGAGTTTGCATACAATATTATTACTGTATTATACTACAAATCCAACTGAAATGCTGCAAGCAAATTCTGTGTAATTATTGTTTTTTGTCTCGCCACCACGAATCGACTTGGCGGTGATGGCGTTAACATTAAGTTTTTGTGTTTAAGTTAGTTTCTCTGAAAGTATAAGTAATACACCAACAAAACTTGCACAATACATGCATCTTAGGTAGTACATCTCAACCCATGCATGAAATGCTGGATGCGGCCTACCTTTCATGGTCCATTGACTTTGTCTGTATCTCCATCAACATTAAGTTTTTGTGTTTAAGTTAGTTTCTCTGAAAGTATAAGTGCTACATCAACCAAACTTGGATAATAGGTAGTACATCTCAACCCATGCATCAAATGCTGGATGCGGCCAACCTTTCATGGTCCATTGACTTTGTCAGCATTTCCATCAACATGAAGTTTTTGCATTTAAGTTAGTTTCTTTGATATGTGCATTGATGGTCAAAGCGGGACATAGGTGACACCTATCAATCCAAATTACTTTTTCTTAAAATCATCTTTCTCTAACTTAGACCTCAAACAGGTATAATTCTTATAATATTCTCTTTAGGGGTATTATTTGATAATTATAATCAGTATTTATATGAATGATATTGAAGCCTGAGTATTAGTTATATGTATCGTATCTATACATCTTACAACACAACATACATGTACACATTCTATACACCCTGTTACGCTTAATCATATCCACTGCTGTACCTCCAGCTACACATTTCATTCTCGGGGTCATGAAAACATAATCTAAAATCTGAATTACTTACGTAATTTCCTCCTTAAAACAGCCTTGAACTTTTTTATTGCTTTCTCTTGGCTGTCATTTTGAAAAGTATATTGCACAAACAGCACTGATTTCACTATCCCAAACAATAGTGAATTAATCCCAACTATCATCTGGTCTTTGCTTTTACCTGGACTTACCTTTATTATTGTTTAAACGTGTGGTCACCCCTGTTACATGCGGCTATTGTTATTGCAGGTCCCTGTAAACGCAGTTACGTCCATTGTCGACGTATCTAGTTAAAAAATTTCCCACGAAATCTGAGAATTTAGGAAGTATAAATTAGATGTATATCACTTGGGGAGAATGATTACTCCGACATATTAGGATAAGTCTAAACAAACATTATTGTAACTAATTAAATAGCTTAATATACGTCTCTGATTGAATTTACGTATTGTTTTAATTTAATTAAAACATTGAACAGGGAAAGTATAAAGGCGACCACCGTGCACAGGGGTTTGTAACTTCGGGTATATAATAATGAAGAATGAAGATGAGTAACACTTAATTCCCTTTTCATTATGCGTCGGAAACGTATGGTTGTGAGACATAGAATAACAAAGGACTTCATAGGGATTGGGGCTGGGTTAGTTTTTTATTAATTTGAAATTACGCTATAATTATATCTGAATGTGCTTTATGTATTTTGTATCAATTTAATTCATATGAGCTTCAGATCACTGGTACCGGAAAAATTCAAAAAGCTTGAGGGGGAGGGGTTGGGTGGTACCGTTGTCGCCAACCCCGCCACCTTCGGTACCTGACGAATGACGGCATTATTTTCTTTCCTTTCTTAAATCTGCAACAAAGAGGTATTTTGATAGGAAATTAAATATACTTCATATCTTATAATTGACACAAACATGTCCAGTATATAAAACTGTCCTTTTGTATTTTTGTATGGTGACTATATGTTACATGTACTTCTTTCAGATATACGATAAGCAACCGATTTGTGTGTCAAGAGGTAAATGGAAATGTTGAATGAGACAAGTGTTCATTCCAAATTTCAAAAGAACTTCAAACTTTACACTGTATCTATGTAAAACTTCCATATTTTTCAACTTCTTTTATATCTCTAAGCCCATTTCAGTAAAGCCAGCGCACAAGTCTGTACCGGTAGGTCGTCTACTGAAAGGCAGCAAGGCCGTAATAACAGACGTAAGACCATCAAAATCAATCTGTACTGGCTCTTATTAAGATTTAGCTATCGCTTTGTGTCTGTACCTCAGATCAGAAACATGGTAGGCCATGGCCAGTCGAGGGGTCTGGGGCCTCCTATTTTGGTTGGGGGTTCTTCTTTGTCGTACGGGGGCTCCATCAATTTGACGTTTATGCC